CATTCCCAGACCTTGCTCGGGATCTGATGTTCTCTCATTTTTGGGCTGGTTAGGAAATGTGAGCGATACCTGCGGTCAGAAGCCCGCAGCCTTCAGCTAAATCCCAACCCAAACTCTTGGGGCAGTGGTGAGGGCAGGGGGTTCTCGGTCCCCTCGAGGGTGGAGGACACGCGACCACCAGCACCGATCAGCGCATTTGGAGCTTGCCGTCCCTTGCGTGCGTGTAATAGGAAAGCAAAGTCCTGTGCACTGCACGCAGGACTGGATGCCAGGAACACCCAGTTACTAATCCCAGCTTTACCAGCGATTCCTTCTGTTGCTTTAGATGTCGCTGGAATAAATCCTGGTCGCTTTGAATTGCATGGCAAAACCACAGGGCTCGGAAGGCAGCCCTCTCCTGCTGCTTCCTCTTGGTCTTGCGGTTATGCTCAGAAAACAGAAAGCTAATTATTTTGTTTGTTTGATTCATTTAAAACAGCATTTTTATGTTCTTGCAGCTCAATGTTTTGGTTTACAATGCGCTTCTTTTTTTTTATTTCTGTTGTTTGTTGTTGGTTTTTTTTTTTTTTTTTTTTGGTTTTATACTGGATTTTGCTTTTTTAAAAAACGTAAAGCCTGCCGCGTCCACACCATCTACAAAGCCCACAGCAACGAAAGCCAGGCCCCTGTCCGCTACCAGCCCCAAGCGGCCAGCCCCTGCCACGCCTGGCCCAAACAAAAAACCCAGCAGCCCTCCTGCAGGTCCTACTGCAGCCACCACTGCTAAGCGCCCAGCCACCGGCACCACACGTCCCTCCACCTTAGCTCCAAAAGAGACCAAACCAAAGGTAAGCAACGATTTGCTGTTGGGGGGGAGCTCTGAGAACTTACTTAGGTGTTAACTTCCCGGCTGTCTTACCCTAGAGTCACAGCATAATTGCAGTGCTAAGCATGGGGGGCTGAGGTCGGGAACGTGCTTCACCCTGTTGTGAGAGCTGCAGTTCTCGCTATCAGCTTCATTAACCCACTCAGGGCATCACGGCCCACGCATTTAATCATGTCATCACAGCGGGGAAAATGATACTTGACTGTATTGCCACGACTTCCCTTGTGAACTGTCGTGAAGTACGCAAGATAATTCCTTCTTTCTTTCCGATACTGGAGGAAGAGTCTTTTTTAAATACAGATACAAACATAGGATAACTCTTAAATCCAGACAAGAGCACGGGAAAACTGAAGGGAGAGCTTCCATATTAATATCAAGGGGGAAAAAATCAGTTTGAACACTTCAATATTTCCCCCTGGTTGCCTCTTTGGGATGTCTGGTCATTGTAAAACCCATGCAAAGATAACCGACGGTATGCTTCGTGCTTAGGAAATAGCGGAGGTTTGTAATTCTCCAAGGAGGGGAGATTTGTGGACGGTTCTTAGTGGAGCATCTTAAAGCTGAAGTCGGGTAGCCACGTGTAACATTAAGAACGGGAAATGCCCATTGAATATTCCCGACGTGAACTTGTGCTATTATGTAGTAGAAGAATCCAAATTTGACAGGGAATGTTGAAATCAGCTTCAGAAGCTTTCGGCTGATGCCCAAATGCTAGCATTCCTACTACGTATTTCAGCTTGAAGAACTGCATCTGAGTGTCTTTTAAACTGACCAAAGCCAGCAAAAGCATGGGCGTAAAGCCCTACTTCTTCTGGGAGCCAGTATCTTCAGTTTTGTTTAAGTTTTTACATGATCCTGAATCCCTTTTTGATGAAATCAAGATCTCATCTGTTTCCATGCATTAACTCCCTATTTTAATACTTAAGAGATCGGTTGACAACCAAGTGGCTTACCAGGGACAGGCGTGAAATGCTTTTCCAAGTGGGGAATAAACCACCAAGACCTAATTCCTATATCCACAGTGTTTTAATGCCTGCTACCTTAGCTTAGGGAGCAGTTCTCCTCCGGAAGGAAAGAAGCCTCTCCCAGAAGTGTTGCTCTGGGATGGACGTTCTCCATTTTGTTCAGAGACCAAAGCCTCCTTCGCATCTGTGAATGGCCTCCGCGCATTATTGCGGGAACAGAGTTGGATGAACTCAAATATTCAGCAGGGGCCGTGCTCTGTGTCCTGCACTGAACATCCTCAGTCGCTTCCACATGCCATAGTTATATTTTTCATCCTCTGCATGATAATGTCTCAGCGGTGCCTAGCTTGCGTGTTTAAGGATGTAAAGAATTCCAACTGATTTCAGGCTTGTTGTTGGCAAACACGTTGAAGAGTCTGTCGGTGAAATACCGGCGCTAACGCAGCCTGTTCGCTTTCAGGTTGCAGATGCGAAGACCACGGAGAAGCGGACCTTGCTGTCAAAGCCTCCATCGTCTACCCCTCCTAGAACTACTGCCAAGAGCACCCCTGTTACTCCGAGGACAACGGCGGCATCGCCAGTCACTGCCGCTGCGAAAAATACTGTTACTTCTCCACCGAAGAGGCCAACGTGTGAGTATTCCCTTGTTTTTCTTCAAATCTCCCTTTCCAACCAGCTGCTGATTTCTCTTTGAGTCGCATCATTGGTTCACGCTATGAAGCCTTTCGCACGTATTCCAGTAGGCTGATGGCTTTTTCCTGTGGGTAGGTTATCCTGTGGCCCCATCGCTTTAGTCTCCTAATAAACAAGCTTGTGAGCTTCAGGTCCAGACAACAAAAAAAGGGGGGGAAAAAAAAAAGCCAACCCTTGGAACATAGTCACTTAGGAGAAGCCGTAGCTGCTGTTAACCAGTCCTAAGAGGTGTAAGCTGGCCTACCTGTCAGTCAGGAGTTGACTTGAATCACAGAATCTCCCAGACTCCCAGCCTGGCCGGGGCTGGCAGGGCCCTCCGGAGCTCACCCAGTGCCACCCCCCTGCCCAAGCAGGCTCACCCAGAGCAGGGGGCACAGGACAGCGGCCAGGCGGGGGTTGAAGATCTCCAGAGAAGGAGACTCCACAGCCCCCCTGGGCAGCCTGGGCCAGGGCTCGGGCACCCTCACAGTCAACAAGTTCTTCGTGACGTTCAACTGGAACCTCTTCTGCTTCAGTTTGTGCCCATTGCCCCTTGTCCTGGCGCTGGGCACCACCGGGGAGAGTCTGGCTCCATCCTGGTGACCCCCACCCTTGAGATATTTGTAGGTGTTGATGAGATCCCCTCTCAGCCTTCTCTTCTCCAGGCTGAACAAGCCCAGATCCCTCAGCCTTTCCTCCTAGGGGAGATGCTCCAGTCCCCTCATCATCCTTGTTGCCCTCCTCTGGACTCTTTCTAGGAATTCCTCATCTTTCTTGAACTGGGGAGCCCAGAACTGGACCCAGTGCTCCAGGTGGGGTCTCCCCAGGGCAGAGTAGAGGGGGAGGAGAACCTCCCTCACCCTGCTGGCCACGCTCCTCTTGATGCACCCCAGGATGCCATTGGCCTTCTCGGCATCAAGGGCACAAGGAGTGAAGCTTAGGGACAGTTGAAATCTCAACCCTTTTAATACGACACAAGACCAGACCTTGTGCCAAGGCATGGAGACCATAGGTCAGACTTTTTTCTCTCTGGGGCTTCCAAAACCAAATCTGAGTGACCTTCAAGGCCCACTTGGATCAGCTCTGTGTGACTCAGGGTTAACGCGATTACTGAACGTGCTTGATTTAAGAGAAAGGATGCTATTCCCTGTCTTTTGCCATAGTAACAGTTGAATAAACACTAAAACCAATTTAAAACTTGGCAAAAGCAAATCTCCTGAAGAGGACTTGAAGCACTCAAATTAGTGTATCTGAAAAACAAGAGAGGTTGAACAGAAGTGGAGGTTTTTTACTGGTGCAGGAGGAATTTGGGGCTGAAACCACATCAGCTTCCTCAGAAAACTTTATCCCGCTTCTCCTGTTGCCAAAGAGGGAACTTCCCATGAGTTCAACACAGTCAGCATGAAACGTGAGCAGCGTGTTAGCATCCTGAAAACAGTGTTTTCACTCACTTTGAAGGAGCTTGAGAGATTTAACGTCAGATAAAAACATAGTTAAACGTTTCCAAGTCTTTTCCAATGACCAGACCTCACTGGCAAAATATGCCAATAAACACGTACGACTACTCCTACGTGTTGGTTGCTTTGTTCTATGAGTCCCAAAGCGTGGAGTAGTAACCCGTCTTTCCCAATAGTGTTTTAGTATAGAATATACTAAATATATAGAATAGCAGTGTTTTAACCATGGTGCAATGCGTTAGGTTAGATGTACATTCCATCCTTCGTGCTCTGGGGGAAAACAGAATTAATCCTGTGTAGAGGAAGCGTTGCACTTCCCAAGAGCTGCATATCTTAACTGATCCCATGGACAACGTCCTTGTAAAACTCATTTTGTGTGGTCTTTTCTGCGAACTGCAGCCCAGAATGCCTCATGTGTTTTAATGAGCGCAGTTAATTTCTCCTTCCAAAATTGAGACACAAACAAAGACGTGTTTTCTGATGACATTTGAAAAGAGATGGAGTCACTGATGCAGAGATGGAGGAAGGTTGTTCCAAGTGGCAAGATGTACAGAGGAAGAGGCTTCTGCACCAGTGAGGGTGGTGGGACATTGCCAAAGTACAGTGAGAACTGGGTGGGCGAGGGAGAGATGAGGTCAGCTGGAGAAGCTCCCATCAGGAGAGAAAGCTGTTCTGTCTGGATCTGGAAATCACACAGAGGAGCCCTGAACGGTACAAGAAGGGAGTCCTGGTTTGGAAGAGGAGAAGGCAAGGGTGGGATAGAGGATGAACAGCGTTGTGGGGCCTGAAGGGGAGTCACAAGGAGCCAAGCACTAACAACTCCCTTAGGTAGAGCACGTGCAACTTCAGCTAGGGCTGTCGATGGAGTGATGGAGAGACCTGGATCTCTTCTGATCACAGTTTAGCTTCTCGTTATGTAGCTTTGAGGCGGATAAGAAGTTCCTGGCTAAAGGTGGTAATTCAGACGGACGCCTGCTCTTGCTTTCCAGGTTCAAAAGACAGAGACGCTCGCTTCCTTGTGGTTTGCTCAAATGTTCGGTCATTCTCACAGTTTAAAAATGTGTGTACAGTGGCTTGGTTTGCAATGATATGGTTGCACTTTTTCCGGTATTAAACGGCAGTCACTGTCTCAACTCAATGAGAGCCACAGGAGATGCGGTGCTCGACTGATAATTTTTTGGGGGTGGGGTGGGTGTATTTTTGCCAGCTTCAAAAAGATCAAAGGCTTGGGCTGTCACTATAGAACACTTTCTTTATCGTTCTCCAGGTTTTCAACATCGCACGCTAATGACGTAGACCAAAGCATCCCAGCATTTGCCTCCCCACTCACACAAGTAGCAACAACATCTCCTTAACGTCTTAAAGTACCAGATTGTCCCCTTGCCCTTACACAAAACGAAGTCTATTCTGTCCATACGGTTTTCCCAGTTAAAGCTGGGATCTGGAGGAATGAGATGAGCTTGGTTTGAGAGGAGCTTTTTTTGAAGAGTATCTGTCCTTTAGGCCTTATTACATTATCCACATGTGTCACCTCATTAGCTAGTATGTTATCCGTGGGGGTTAATGGAGTGCTTTTAACGAAGTCTGGCTGGAATGATCCAGGCTAATGCGGCCTACGGTTATCCGCCTCTTCTGCTTGCTCATTTCTATATTGGCATTCCGTAAAATACCGTGCCAGCTACTTGAGTTTATCTAAAGATCTACGACTGTTAATGGAAATTAAATACAAGAAAGGTGTTTTCCTAATTTCTAACTTTGATTTTTTTCCGTTTGGTGTTTGGGTTTAATGTTGCCTGCCTTTGGCTTTTGAAATGAAGCGGATTTTAGCCAAAGTTGTCCATCATTGATAGTAAAGCAGCTAGAATTCCGTTATCAAAGGATTTCATTATCAAAGAGCTCTTCAAAATAAGGTGCTGTTTCTATTTTTCAGTCTGTGATTTTTCCTTGATCACCTTTGTGGGTGGTTTTATTCTGCTTTGAGGAATATAGAAGCGTTCCCAGTTCAGGCTGTCCTCTGTCTGTGCGGAATGTAATCAGGTCATGATCGCTGGTGCTTGCCCAAAGGCACAGTGCAGTTCAGTGATTGATTTTTGGGTTCATACAATTACAATCGGGACCAAAGTATGTGCAATAACTTCTGTGCAAAAGATCAGCATTGGTTAGAACCGATCAGCAGTAGTACCAAGGTTATAGACGGACAAATGTGGCTTTGCTTTTACTGTTTAGCAAGGAAAGGAGCTCGGAGGGGGGGTTGTTTGTTTTTTAAGAAATGAAATTAGGATGGGATTAAAATAACGTCAGTGAGTGCTGTCAGATTGAGAAAGTTATTTTAAGAAAAACCAAAATGCAAACCGTACTCCAGGTGTGTTGCGTTATGGAATGGTGAATGGATTTCTTTTGCTGGGAAACAGGAATGAGTTTGGCTGGGAAACAGGGATGAGTTTGGCTGGGAAATGGATGAGTTTTGCTGCTGTGGTGAGGACCGCCTGAGCCAGGTGCTCAAACGGAGTGGTTAATGCTTGAGATGCTTTATTTCGAGCAGCGTGTTAGCAAGGGGGGGCTGGGGGTGAAGAGGACCCAGTGGCATGCGAGGAGCTGCCGAGAGCCCCTGGCCTCCCAGGGGGGCTGTGCTGGGATCCCAGGCTTCTCATCTGTGCAAATTGGGCCCTGCTCGGAAATACTGACGGGTGTGTTTTGTGTTGGGCAGCTATCAAGACTGATGCAAAGCCTGCGGATGCCAAGAAGACCTCCGCAAAGTCACCATCAGGTAACTTTGTCCAGTTAAATCCGCCTTGTTCAGGGCTGTGTTTATTAAGCAAGGCCGCTGTACACCTTGAGCAAGTTTGCATAAATAGCCGCTGACCCATCGTTTTCCCCCCCTTCCCTCCACCTATCGCTATGATAATTGTAGCAGAGTCGAGCCGCCCGAAGAGCGCGACTGGAAACGCAGTGAAAAGCAATGCCACCACTCCTTCCACCACCACCTCCAGCGCGCCTCCTTTGCCTGGAGCAGCCACCAGTCGTCCCAAACCCAAGCCTGCTGCAACCAAACCCACCACAACCTCAACCACCACAGCAGATGCTAAAAAAACAACTGCGAAGGCTCCAACTAAACCCAGCACTGTTTCCAAGCCATCTCGCCCGACCAGCAGCGTTTCTGCTCCAGATCTGAAAAACGTACGTTCCAAAATTGGATCAACGGATAACATTAAACATCAGCCCGGTGGAGGAAAGGTAAGTTCCTTCAAATCTGATAACAATACGCGCTTTGGAACGGTAGCTCTTAAGCGTTATGGGTGCTCTTTGCTAATTAATGGTGGTGGCTGTATCCTCACTGCTCTTCTCGTTTATGCTCTGCAGAGCTCCTCCTCACTGGGTTCTTGGTTTATGCACAAGGCATTAACGAGGCAGCAATGGTAGCGTACAGAAGGAATCTGCCCTAAGAGCCTCCGTGGTGTTTACTGGCATGCGTACAGGAATTCAGAACTCTGCCATTCTGTTTTTCTGTCGTACGTCATGACGTAGAAACCAGTTGGTATTGAGAGCTCCAAGCCTTGTCTATATTCCAAAAGTTGGCCTATGAATAGAGGAATTGAGTCTGCTGAATAGTACGGAAGGTGGAGTAATGCACTACGATGCAGGAAATCTGGATTCAGGAGCAAGTTCCAAGTTTCCCAGGTCTAGGAACGGGGACTCTTCAACTTGTCAGGCCTAAAGCTGATAAGAAATGGGTCAACACGCTCTGCTCTTTGGGTAACTTCTGGTGGCCACAAGAAGAGAAGAGGGTGGTGTTGAATGAGCCATAGGGAGAAGCGTGCACATAGCTAGAACGTGAGGCTCCCAGTCAGTAATGGTCTTAAATTATGCTTTCACTGGAAGAATCTACCTGACTGGGTGTCTTAGCACTTGCCTGTAGTCAGAGGGGTTTAGTTTCCACAAAGTGGAACAAATTTGCCCACTTACCTTTGCTGCAGGTCTGCAGTAACAAATAACTCGACGTACAACTTCAATCTGATGCCAAGAGAGCCCGTTTCACGCCGGGAGCCTTAATCTCCTCGCAGGCACATTAAAGTCGAGAGCGTTCTCAGGCCGTGGTGCACAGCCAGCAGGGATAGCGCAAGGGTTTGTTCCTCAGCGAAGAGTCTCTTAGTTGTCCAATATCATAGTATGGTCCTCAAGGCTTAGAGGTCCAGAGGACAGAAGCTTCTGCTCCCCAAAACAGTTTCTGGAAACGACAAACCAAGTCTGCTAAAAAAACTCCGAGGTGGGCAGGAGGTGACCCTTTTCTAGATTGGAGCTTGAAGCCAAGTAGAAGTTCAGAAAGCTGCTGGCCAGCGCGTCAAGAAGAACACCCAAGATTGTTCTGGCATTGGAAACTGTGCTGGGGTTGCAGAGCCTTTGAGCTTACAGGGTTATCGTGTCAGTTTGAGGGAATTTATTTTTACAGTTAGTCGCACCGTCCTCTATTTTCTAAAGATTTTCATGGAATTGTTAAACCCTAACAACTGTACTTTTAAGAAAATTGTCCTTTTTGTAGTCCTATTTACGCGGGGATGTTTTTAGAGTAGGAGAGAATGCCTTAGGAGTGCTGGGGTTTGTGTTTGCCGCTCTGTTGCCGGTAGGTTAGAGAAATGCAGGATTGATGCTGACCCCCCCATGCAAGCTCTGCTGCACTGGCCTGGGTCTATAGCAGAAGAATGGACATTCTCAGGTCGTGGCTGATTTTTTTTTTCTAACAACCCGTTAAGTTTTCATTCGGTTTTCTGCTTAGCTGGGTTAGCTCGGTCCACCTGCATTGGATTAGTTAACAACTTAAACCAGCGGTCGATGGCAAAGCCTGAGGCAAATCAGCGCGCGGGCGCAAAGTCAGAAAGGGAAGCCCAGCGTTTGTATCCAGCAGAGCTCTTAGGGCTCGAAGGCAAAGAAAATCAGCCAGGGGATGTGTTTGCCACTACGACCTGTGTAACGCCCTCCGCCTGCAGGAGGTGGTGCTGTGCCACTGCCGGGTTCCTAAAAGATGGGGTTTCATTTTTTTGGCAGAATATAATGTCCTGGGGTCACCTGGAGACCTGCCATCGTGGCCACTGGGGAAGTGATGAGATACTGAAGGGCACCCGCGAGCTTTCTGAGAAATGGAGAACTTAATTATGGCTTTATGACCCCCCGGGTGCCCGCTTCGTTCCGTGTCCGAGTGATGTTGTCTCCCCTCCACCCCCTTAGTGTTGTGGTTCCTGGGCATGGGATTTTGCCTGAGAATTGCAGCGTGTGAGAAGTCCTGGCTCATCTGGGTTTATCTGGGTAGCTTGTGTTCCCGTACGGTCCTGCCCACACTTTTGCTTTTGCTGGTTGAAATCATCCGTTTGTCTCCATCTAGGGGAAAATAGAGAAAAAGCCAGAATCAGCCGCTGCTGCACGAAAGTCTGAACCCAATGCGGTCTCTAAAATGGCTACTACTAAAACAACCGTATCAAAAGAGGGTGCCCCAAAACAGCCCAATGGGAAAGTGAGTTTATTTCAGACTTTTCTCTGGGGGAGATGAAGGAAAACGGTTCCATTTTGAGTCACTTTCCCTTCTATTCAACTCTTCTGCTTTCTCCTGTCGGCGTCACTGTTCCTTGCACAGACACTTTTCCAGTTCTCTCCTGTAAATCCTGAGACCTTCTCGGTGAAACGCGTTCAGAGGCCGCTGTCGTAGGTGTCTTCTCCAGGCCTGCTGTAAATGTAAATGTTTTCAGCGCGGTCTCCTCCCTTTTCACTTTTAGGTAGCCAGGCCTAACTTGGCGTCGGAGATTTCCCTTAAGACCAGTTCTCCATAGGCAGCTCTAGTTTGTAACTCAGGAGAGAGCTTTAGTTCAGTGCCGCTTCCTTTCGTGAAGATCGCAAAACGTTAAGGGCTTAATATCTTCCCTGCAAAGTCCCCAACCAGTTGTATCAAACCCCTTCACCGCCGTGCGTTAGGTGGTCACCATTTGATGGGGTCACCAAAGCCGTCGTGACCGGCTATTTCAGCACAAGTGGCTGGGGAGTGAGGTGGGAGGAGTGCCTGCGGGGTGGCGTTAATTCGGATATCGTTAATGGACGGGTGGGATTTGCACCTCTAGAGGAGCCAGGAAGCCCTTACCAACTGCCACGGCACGAGGAGGTTTTCCGAGCTGCTGTTGCACTCAATCCAGTCTTTCTGAGCTGGCTGAGGAGCTTTTGGAAACCCGCTCAAGTGAGAACGTTTGGGTGATTCCTTTTGTGCTTCGAATTGGTCACCTTTTTCTAGGAATTACCTCGATACAGCTTCTGCCACATTTTGTGCTGTGTTAAATAACTCCCAGACTAAACGCTGTCCTAACTAACCTCTGTTAATACGGGCCTGTTACTCTAACTCAGTTACTACCTCGCTGAGTAAAAGCTCACCGAGCCACACTACTCCTGTATTTTGCCGAAGTCCAAGTCAGTTTAAAGGGGAAACAATTTAATTCACATAAGAGTCATCTGATAAAATTTAACTTAAGGTTGGACAACCTTCACCAGAATGGTTTCTCAGACCGGGCTTTACTGCCCCGAGGTTCTGACGGACCTTACCCAAGCCTGGAGTCAACCCAGGCCAATGGAAACGAAGCGCAGGCGCCGAGTGGTTCATAGCGTTGTTGGAAGCGGTGGCCCCATGGCTTCGATCCGTGGTGGAAGGAGGCAGCTGAGCCGTCTCGCCTTGCCCTGGGGCAGCTCTCACCAAAGAGCTCCCGGGAAGCTTCACAGGGGATGTAGATGAACCTGGCCCTTCTGACAGGCAGGCGCCCACCCCGGCGGGCTGAGTCCCCAAGCCGTAGAGCATTCGGAGAAGCGGTCTTCACGGTAGCGCTTACGCTCTCGCACTAACACTGTCTGTGCAGCCTCTTGTTTCGTTCACCTTTTCTTCTCACTCTCCTCCTCAGTTGCTTTCACACCTAATACTAAAGTTGGATTGAGTTTAACACGAGTCCTTGTTTATCTACCGTGTTAGAGCGTCCACTCCAGCCTGTCGTATGACAACTCTAACCAGTCCTCTTCCCTTGTGTTGTTTTCCATTCTGTAACGTTCCAGGTCCAGATAGTCTCCAAAAAAGCGAACTACAGCCATGTTCAGTCCAAGTGTGGTTCCAAGGACAATATTAAGCATGTCCCTGGAGGTGGGAATGTAAGTATGGGCTCTGGGCAAAGCTGTCTTTCTACTAACTCCTTCTCTTGTACTATGTTTTTATATGTCAGCCTTACAAACGCTGTGTTTCGGGCAGAAAGGTGTGGCAGAGTTTCAGGGCTTCTGGAAATAATGTAGGACAGAGGATTTATTTAATTCCCCCCCTGTACCCCCCTACGGGATCTTAGGTTGAACATGTGTGGTTGGTTCGTAGTACTACGAATACACCCGACCTGTTTCTCAGATGGTTTCCGTGGTCTTCATGACCAATGTAGGATGTGCGCGTCGTTGGCCCCAGGCGTTGGTTCACCGTGGATTCCCTCTGCAGTCAATGGGGGCACCTCATCGGTCCTCTGACCTACCCTAGATGTCTGATTCTTTTAGATTAAATGAATTGTGGCCTGGAAGCGCCTGTTACTCTTTACTGGGTAACGGAACAAACCTGACGCAGATTCATTTCACTTCTTTTTTCACAAAAAGGGAGACTCTGAAAAAGGAGGAGGAGAAGACTCTGGGACTTAATCTTTGAGCTGCCATTAATGTCTAAATTTAAAGGCTACCAATATCTCTGGCAGCAGAGTTGAGCTTATTAAAATAGAAGGTGAATCTTGTCACGTCTCCGTGCTTGGTTGGGTGTATGATACCCTGGAAGTGTCTGGCAAAACGCCCAAGTTAACTCTCTGGATACTAAAACCTTTGAAAACATGACTGCAGTTGGGCAGGCTTGTTCCCTGGTGGGCAGATCTGTACTAAAAACCCACACGGCTGCTTGTGCTAGGGATGCTGTGCAGAAATACAAGGAGCGGATGGTTTCAAAAAGACGCTGAAGCCCGAGGAAGTTTTTTCCGTTGGTGTTTCAATACACCAGGCTCCCGAGGAGGGATGTCCAGCTAGCACATCTTGTGACGCTTTCTCTGCGCCCGGTGCCTGGGTGCCAGCATCAGTGAAACTCCCACATCCTTGCTTCGTGTAGCGTTCAAGGTGCAAATGTGACATTCTGGGGCTGTGCAGTCGTTGGGTTCTGTTTGATGTCTGGTTCAGCGGATGCAAATGCTACATAGGCCTGGCCATGGTGCGAACTGCTGCGGCTGGTTTTCTTGGGAAGTATTCGTGTATTTGGGTTGTGGTTAACCCCGGCCAGCAGCTAATGTCCCGTGGGTGGGCGGGTGCTCAGCCATCCCCGGGACAGCAGGGCTCCATCACGGTGACCTGGGAAGACCAACGCCATCACCGCGAACGTCCCCCCCCTTCCTTCTTCTTCCCCCAGCTCTATCCTCTGGGCATGACGCCATACGGTGTGGGATATCCCTGGGGTCAGTTGGGGCCAGCTGTCCCAGCTGTGTCCCCTCCCAGCTCCTTGCATCCCCTCCCAGCTCCTTGTGTCCCTCCCCAGCCCCTCAGTGGTGGGGTGAGGAGCAGAGGAGGCCTTGGCTCTGTGTAAGCCCGGCTCCGCAATAACGAACGCATCCCTGGGTTATCAACGCTGTTCCCAGCACAAATCCAAACCCTCGCCCCGGACCAGCTACCGTGAAGAAAATTAACTCTACCCCAGCCCAAACCAGCACGATTTGACCAGCTGGCTGAACCTTTACGTGACCAATTCTTCCTTAAATCTTTGCGAGAGGCGACCAAATCCAAGTTCTTAACGAACTTGTTCCCTACCAGTTGGTTGCCAGGATGGTAGGAGACGGATGTTGAAGTCACGCGTGCGGTGTTCACTTAACTGAACTTGACTCCCCCCCGAGAGCCGCTGGACACGCGTCTCTGCTGCCCTCCTTGCCTCCCAGTTTGCGGATTTTCACCAGTGGTGGGATTTGCCATTCCTATCTGATATTTCCGTGCCGTGCCCAATGTTTGTAGGCATGCATAGGTGTGCATGGGGCTTCCCGTAGAAACGCTCATGCGGGAGAATTTTCTGCGCCATAGAAAGAAAGACTGATGTCGAGGCCATCATGTCAACAGGCGCCCTCGTGATATTTTTTTTAGCAATGCACATTTCTGTTCCCACTGCCCATTTCATTTGGTTTTGCCCCCCGCAGTTGGGACGGACCGCGTGTATGTAGTCCGTGTTTGGTGGCAGAGGTCCCTTCGGCTGCGCGGGTGAAGAGCGGCTGTTGTCATTCAACGGTTCGTGCACTCAGAGGAGCTGTATTTTATAAACCACTTGAATTTTGCCACCCTTGCCTTGTATAGCCTTCTAGAGGACGACGAGTCTCACACACACGTCTCCTTTTTTTTGAGGTCAACAGAAATCTGCTTTAAATGTAGGCGATATTTTTCCTGCTTCATTAACTGCATCAGTGAACTATTTTTTGTTCTTCTAATAAATCACCAAACCTGTCCTTTCCTCTTTACATCCGCTCTCCTGTCATGGGGACATTCCCAACTCCAGGGGACAAGTGTGCGCCTGTGTTCTTTCCCTCTTCTTCCTCTTTCTCTTCTTGAGAGTAGAGAACAAGGTGCTGATCATTCCCAGGTTCCAGATGCCCCCAGAGCAGCTCCAGGCAGTTCCCAGCCACCCAACGCCCCCGACCCCAGCCCTGCCTGTACCGAGGCGCGCAGGCGAGGCGCAGCGGCCAGGCTGCCTTCCTATTAAAGCCTTTCCTTTGATTCATTTTTATCTCTGCTCGCTCCCTTTGGGGCACCGTCATATCAGCGTCCTCTTCCAAGAGGTTTTCTTGTTCAAACAGTTATGGTGATTGCTCCTGGTAGAAGGCCTCCCCGTGTGTAATTCCTGAACCACGCTGTGGATGGGCATGTCTGGAAAGCCCGTTGTTCTGGTCTGTGGCTTCAGTGGAAGCTTTTGGGAATCCCACGGACACGAGCTGCTGTTAGTAGCAAGTTCTGGTTCAGCTTTAGGGTTGCTCTGGTGGAGGTTGTGGACGTCCTGCCTGAGTGAAGTGGTTCCTTGCTGGCAGGATCTTGGGTACCCGTGCTGCCTTCTATACATGGAGATTAATTTCTTCTCCCCTCCGAGACACCCAAAGAGACGTGTTCAACAGCAGCAGATGCCATTCCTGTTCATGTTATATCCACCAGAAATACCTTGACACGAACATAATTAGGTTTCCTGGGTTTTATTGTGCTCTAGTATTGTCCCCTCCCTTTTTAAAGAAGGCAGCACTGAAGAGGTAGGTTTTACAACGTTCCGGTAGCGTACGTGCTGCTGAACATTAAACAAGGTGATCATAGAATCCCAGCATGGTTTGGGTGGGCAAAGCCCTTTCAGCTCCCCCAGCCCAACCGCTCCCCTACCCCTGCCATCCCACCCCCAAACCCTGGCCCTCAGCACCGCCTCTGCCCGGCTGTTAAATCCCCCCAGGGCTGGGGACTCGACCCCCCCAACCTCACCCTGCCCTGGCACAACTTGAGGCCGCTGCCCCTCGTCCCATCGCCCCTTCCCTGGGAGCAGAGCCCGACCCCCCCGGCTCCCCCCTCCTCTCAGGCAGTTGTAGGCAGCGATGAGGGCTCCCCTCAGCCTCCTCTTCTCCAGGCTGAACCCCCCCAGCTCCCCCAGCCGCTCCCCAGCAGCCTGGGGCTCCAGACCCCTCCCCAGCTCCGCTGCCCTTCTCTGGACACGCTCCAGCCCCCCCAGGTCCTTCGGGGAGGGAGGGGCCCAACCCTGACCCCAGCACTCGAGGGGCGGCCCCCCCAGTGCCCAGCACAGGGGCACGGTCCCTGCCCTGCTCCTGCTGGCCACACCACTCCTGAGACAAGCCAGGATGCTGCTGGCCCCCTTGGCCACCTGGGCACCCTGCTGGCTCCTATCCAGCCCCCTGGTGACAAACCCCCCCCCAGGGCCTTTTCCCCCGGGCAGCTTTCCAGCCCCTCTGCCCCACGCCTGGAGCGCTGCCTGGGGTTGTGGTGACGTTGTGACTGTACCTGTGTTTCTCTGCCCTTTGGCTTGACCTGTCAGCTGGGGTGGGAAATGGTCAGAGACAGAAAATCTCAGAAGAGCTGAGGCTCACGCTTCCCATCTGAGCCTCTGCATCAAACTCTCAGATCTGAAGTTTACTTCTGGCACCAGAGTCTGAGTCTTTGGCTCTGTAAATGCAAGCCCAAGCCTTTAAATGCATCTCCCATTGCAAACTCAAAGCAACTGATGTTAGAAATCTTCCCGGAAATACACTTCCATTTAGGTATAATTGCTTGGATCCCCAGGGGAAATCACGAGGAGTCATAACTGGGTACTCCTACCCGAGCTGATAACAAACACTATTAGTTTAAAATGCATTCTGGGAAATAAATTTACTTTTCTTCCAGTTCCAAGCAAGCGAGTCCTCACTGTAAAAACCTGCAGTACCTTTACTGGCCTGGAATGGTCCCAGGGATGGGGCCTCCACCCCCTCTCTGGGCAACCCCTGCCAGGGTTTCACCACCCTCACTGGAAAGAATTTCTGCCTTAGATCCAGGCTAAACCTCCCCTGCTTCAGTTTAAAGCCATCCCCCCTTGTCCTGTCCCAGCTGGCCCTACTCAAAAGCTTATCCCCCCCCTTTCCTCTGGGCCCCCTTGAAGCCCTGACCGGCTGCACTCAGCTCTGCCCGCAGCCTTCTCTTCTCCAGGCTGAACACCCCC